CTGTGCTTTGCTAAGCTTGTTCTAAGTAGGTGCTTTAGACCACTGAGCCATCTCACCAGCCCAATTTCAATTGTTATATTTGAAGTAATAGACAAACAATTCCTTGGGCTAAGAGATGAAAGTTTCCATAATTCTTGCTAACTCACCATCTCCTGCTTGCTTTTTTGTTATTTATTTATCTTTTTTTTTCAGGTGAAAGACCAAAGAAACCAGTTCCTCTTCAGGATCAGACTGTCAGAGATGAAAAGGGAAGATATAAGCGATTTCATGGAGCCTTTAGTGGAGGTTTCTCTGCCGGGTACTTCAATACCGTTGGCTCAAAAGAAGGTATGGCTTTCCTACTTACAGGTATCAGAGTGCTAAAGCAAATAATTAAAATAGCTAAAGATTTCTTACCCTCTCCCAGCTTTTCTAAAAAAGTTCTTTAATCATTTTATAATATACACTTTGGTCTCTTGTGTACCATGAATGATTATAAAGTTTCCAGAGTCATTGATTGTGGGGCTGGGGAGATGGCTCAGTAGAATAAGCACTTGCCTGGCAAGCACAAGGGCCTGAGTTCAATCCCCAGTTCTGCCCAAAAAATAAATAAATAAATAAATAAATAAATAAATAAATAAAGTTTCCAGAGTCATTGATTGCAAACTGAGGGGAAAAACATGTTTTTACACTTTGTAGAAAACTGATACATCGTAACCTGATACTTAACCCATGAGAATGAGGTCCTCCATTCAGGATTTTGCACAGCACCCTCGCAGTCTCACTAAGGCAGTCATAGACTGCCTCACAGGAATCAGTGGCTGGGGAGGACAACAGATTGTCAGGTGTTTTGCACATGTGGCCACCATGGGTCAGAGAGGATAAGAAGCCAGCCTAGTGTGAGAGCTGCCCAGAGAATCACCAGTTGCAGTGTTCTGACACTGGGAACTATAGAATGAGTGGGTGCCATTTAATTTTTTCTTTTCTTTATATATTTGGTACAGGGTCTCACTACACAGCTTGGATTCGCAGTGGTCCTCCTGTTTTCAGCCTCCCTAGCAGTGGGATTACAGGCATGTGTCACCATGCCCAGACTCTGTGGCTGGCTCAGTGTATCTGGTGGTAGGGCCAGTGCAGGATGTGGTGCCAGGGATCAAACCCCACTCCCTGTGCTTGCCTAAGCAGGCGCTTAGTCTGCTGAGCTATCTCACCAGCCCTACTACTCGCTTTTGACCTGGAAAAAAATTAGTTAAAATTTATTTTCTTTCTTTTTTTAAATTTTCATGTCATGTAGTATATAACCAATTCCATATTACTAAAACAACATCTGTAAGGTTTTTATTGTTGTTGTTTTGGTGCTGGAGATTGAGTGCAGGACCTTCTGCATACTAAGCAGGCATTCTACCACAGAGCTAGAACACTCACCCCCGCTCTTTCTTTAGATATGGCAGTATGTTTGTGCAGATTACTGTGGTGCTGGTCCAGGGTATTCTTGCCTTTTAAAGTGATCTTGTACCATTCTGCTCAGATCTACTTGTGCTTTTCAGTGTATTTATTGAGACAAATCTAGCTACATTACCCAAATTGGCCTTGAACTCATGGGCTCAAGCGATCCTCCTGCCTTAGCTTCCCCAGTAGCTGGGACTACGGGTGCCCACACCCAGCTTCCTTAATGGTTTAACTTTCAGGATAGAATTTTATTTCACTTGATATCAGCTTCTTACAAGGAAACCTCTCTAAATTCACTAAGAACTTACCACAGGAGTAAGAGAAGTAAGTAAGTTTATGTGAGGAATTATATCTGTGTGAAAGTGAAGTTCTTACATTTTACTTAATTATTTAATTATATCAAAATGCTATCAAGAAGTATGAAAGTATGTGTTCTTCTTTCTAGGATGGACACCTTCCACCTATGTGTCTTCACGACAAAATAGAGCAGACAGATCTGTTGTTGGTCCTGAAGATTTTATGGATGAAGAGGTAGGCATGCAAAACTCAAATGGCAGTTAGCGGTGTGATGTGCGGGGCTGTTATGGGGTGCCTTCTCTTTCCTGCAAAACTCCCATGTGCCATTTGCTCTTTGCTTAGAAGTGCTTGGAAGGCTTTCCCTCTTAAGCACTGGTACTACAGTGCTGTGTACATCAGTGGATTCTCCCTCATTAGAGTAGTATTTTATTCTGGGGCCAGTTTGTAAAGTCAGGAGTGTAAGAGGGAAGTCACATATGACATATTACTTGAATAGTCTCAGTTGTCCCCAAAGCCTTGGGGCTTAGCCTGTAGCTTTTTGCAGTAACTTGCGTATACACAGTGCTTTAAGAATAATGGAGCAACTAGACTAAAATTAAATCTCTTTTCTTAAAACCTTGGCCTGGATTAATGAAAGATTAAATAAAGTCCTTACAACAGCATGCTGTAGGCTGCAAGGAAGGACAAAAGCAGGCCTCTTCCTTGTTGGAGAAAACTATCAGTCAGTTTTTACACTGTAGCAAAATACCTGACAGAATCAACTTAAAAGGGGCTGGGAAGATAGCTCAGTAGAATAAGTGCTTGCCTGGCAAATGCAAGGGTCTGAGTTCAATCCCCAGTTCCGAAAAAAAAGAAAAAAAAAAAAAATCAACTTAAGAGAGGAAAAGTTTGTTTTGGCTCACGGTTTCAGGATTTCCACGGTCAGCTGCTCTTGTATTAGGCCTGTGGTAAGGCAGGACACCATGGCCGGGAACACATGGGGTGAAGCAAAGTTGCTTCCCTCACAATTGTCTGGAAGGAAAGAAAGTGTGAGAGAAAGGGCCAAGGACAAGATGCCCTTCAAGGCCACACCTCCAGTGCCCTATGTCCTCCAGGTAGGCCTTAACCCCCTGAAGCTCCCGCCACTTCTCTGTGGCTTGTTAGGCTGTGGCTTCATCAGTGGACGAATCCATTCATGAGGTCAGAGCCCTGGAGATCCAATTCCCTCTGAGTACTGCTGTGTTGGGGAACAAGCTGTCAAAGGTTTTTGGGGACATTTGCGATCTGTGTTAGTCAACTTTGCTGTCTCTGGGATAAAATATCTAGTTCCCACAAATTAAAGAAGAACAGGTTTAATTCGTCTTACAGCTCTGGGGTGTGCAGTCCCTGGCCATCGGGTTCTAAGGCAGAAGCAGTGTAGAAGAAGCTGCTCACCTTCTGGCAGCCAGGAAGCAGAAAGAGAAAGATGAAGCTGGGGACAAGAGTACCCATCGATAGGACTGGCAATGTCAGAAGTTGTTGACTTGGGCCTTCTACAGCTCAGCATATTAATATGGCTTTACTTTTTTTTTGTGGAATTGGGGATTGAACTCAGGTCCTTGAGCTTGCAAGGCAAGCGCTTATTCCACTGAGCTATCTCCCCAGCACCATGGCTTTACTTTTTATATCTCATTTTTATACCTTTCTGCTAGATGGTTACAGACCAAGATAAAGCGAAACCTATATAACAAGAAACGTGACTTTTATATCTGAGAAGGTCAGTCAGCTCCCCTCAGGACTTACCCTGAAACCCTGTACCGCAGTTTGTAGATCCTTTGTCAGTGTCAGCCATGTGGATGAGTCACAGTCATTGCTTGACCGGTTTGCTCTCTGTGAAAGCCTGAGAGAATGTTTTCTCTCCATGTGACTCTCCTTAGGCACATTCTACATCATCAATCACTTTCCTCTGTGGCCCCATAATCTTGATCAGAAAAGTTGGGACACAACTGAGTTACATGATGTTACAGTACAGGTTCTCCTATGTCCTGAGTGTTCACTGACCTTCAAAGTCTAGGGCCGGGGCTGGTGAGATGGCTCAGTGGTCTAAAGCACCTACTTAGAACAAGCTTAGCAAAGCACAGGGACCACGGTTCAATCCCCCAGCACCACATGCCAGC